CCCCCCCCCCCATGCCCTACACCTGCTCACTTTGTGCTCCCTCCCCAGAACCATCCTCCTGAGCGTCATCTCCCTCCTCAACGAACCCAACACCTTCTCCCCGGCCAATGTGGATGCCTCTGTGATGTACAGGAAGTGGAAAGAGAGCAAAGGCAAGGACCGGGAGTACACAGACATCATCCGGTAAGGAAAGGCTCCCAGATTAACCTGGCTTCTCACATCTGTTCACAGGGCAGGAGTCAGTAATGGGGAAAACTAGGCCACTGGGCAGTGGGAAAGATCTAACCAGATAGAAGCCCAACCCATTGGTTCTTTCCTCCTGGCCTCTTTATTTTATTTTTAAGAAAATTGGGTGTTGCCCTAGCCAGTTTGGCTCAATGGTTAGAACTGTGGCCTGTCCACTGAAGAGTCCCAGGTTCCATTCCAGCCAAGGGCACATACCTGGGTTGCAGGCTTGATCCCCAGCCCTGGCTGGCTCGAGAGCGGGAGGCAACTAATCCATGTGTCTCACATCGATGTTTTCCTCTCTCCCTCTCTCTCCCCCCTCCCCCTTCTCTCCCCCTTCCACTCTCTCTGAAAAGGCAGTGGAAAAAATATTCTCTGGTGAGGATTAAAAAAAAAAAAGAAAATTGGGTGTTTTTCTTTGTTTTTTGCAATGTGAAATATCTGTCATACAAGTCCATGTATTTAAGGTAGTAAATGTACATGCTGTGTGCATGTGCGTGTTTGGATGTGGGTGTATCACACACAGTCATAATAGTACAGCAAAGAAATAGACACCCAGGTGTCTAGCAGTGAGCTCCAAAGGTCCTCCTGGCCTTCCCCTTGCCCCTTGCCCCTTGCCCCCCTCCTTCCCGGGCAGCACCTTTGAGAACGGGGGTACATTTGTTCCATGTAAGTGTGTCCAGCAAATGGGGTGTGGTTTGCCTGTCCGCTTTTAGGTGCTCCATGACCCACGTCCGGGTGTGCATGTGTCCTTCTACTGCTTGTTTCTGTCCATCAGCAGTTTTTCATGTGGTCATTTTTCATGTTACTGATACACTGCTTTGTGTAATGTTTTCTTTTTCCCACTTAATAATTTGCTGCTGTGAACGTCACTTAAGTTTGTAATTTTGAAACTTGGACTCATTATCTAAAGACAGAAATACCATTATGGTATCAGCATATTTAGAAGCAGGTGAACATCCTACAGACTTTATGTAGCGGATTCTCAGCAGTGCAGGTGCCAAATTGGGGACAGGACCTTGTTTAGGGCCCTGGGTGTGCAAGCCATCAGCTTTCTGTTGGACTATATAACCCGTTCTTTCCGCCTTGTTCTGTTTGTTGAATTCTGTGAGCTCGTGTGTCCATTTTCTATTGTCACTTTTTATCATGGAGTTTACTGACTTGTTTCATGACAAACAGCCCTTTATTAGGTTTCTTTCCCCAAATACCTTTTCAGTTTGTTGTTTACCTTTTAGGTAGAAAGGTAAATAAGAAGTTAGACTCACCCCTGCCTTACAGCCCAGTCGTTCCAGGCTTAAGTATTTATCCAAGAGAAACAGGGACATTCTGCACCAGCATCCATGCAAGTGTTCAAAATAGCATCAGCTCACCAAAAACGAACAACAGCCCAAATGCACACCTTCAGATAAAGAGTGGGCAGGCTGGTGAAGAGTGGCCTCTTCACCAGCCATGTGGATGTGTCTGCAGGCATTAAGCTTTGTGAAGGAAGCCAGGCGAACGCAGGAGCTGATGGCACACTCCTCGACAGGAATCCTAGAACGTACACCCATGGCTATCTGAGATGTGGGGTTTAAGAGGCATAGGGGCCTCTGGGGGTGATGAGTACACTTGTGAGCTTGTGGGGTGCTTTCACAAGGCACATGTGGGTCAGAGCTCACAGCTGACACTTTACACAGGTGCAGTTTGTGTTAATAAAGCTACGGAAACAAATGGAATAACCAGAAGGCAAAAACATTTATATATAAATAGAAACAAAAACTCCCATTTTCCAAATAACTAATGGTTAATGTTCGGGTGTATCCTTCCAGACATTTATCCAAAAAATGGGACCACACTGTATAGGCCACTTTGTAACTGGCTTTTTAGTCAGGTTTGTTGAGGTGTCACATATAGTAAAGCTCATCCTTTTTGGGCTCAGTTTGATGAGTTTTGACTGTTAACATAACTACTTCTTTGGTAAGGTGCAGATCCAGCTCCACTACCTGAAACTTCCCTCCTACTCCTCCACCATCTCTTCCCTCCCCACTCCACCCCAGCAGCCACTGCTCTGACCTAGAAAGTAGGAAATAGCCTTTTGTAGCTTCCCAGTGCCTGACCTTTGAGTCTGTCCATGTGCTTACGTGTTGTAACCAGCTTTACCCCTCCCTAATAAACCAGCTGTTCTCTTTCTCTAAACAGCCCTCGGTTCTCCATTTCATCTCATCCTGCAGTTTGACTATTCCCTTCTGTTACACACGTGCGTGTGTGAGCAGATGTATGTGTGCACATAGGGACAGATGCAGCGTTTTGTTTAAGGCATTGGTGGCCTTGCAGTGTCAGTTCTTCTACCTATTCTATGGTACCCCTCTCTATTTTCTTCTTTTTTCCCTTCTTTTTTTAAAATATGTCTTTATTGATTCAGAGAGAGGAAGGGAGAGAGAGATAGAAACATCAATGATGAGAGAGTCCTCATTGATCAGCTGCCTCCTGCACGCCCCCGATGGAGATCAAGCCCGCAACCTGGGCATGTGCCCTGACTGGGAATCGAATCGCGATCTTCTGGATCCTAGCTGGATGCTCAACAGCTGAGCCATGCCCAGCTGGGCTGTTTTCTTTTCCCTGACTAAATTCTGCTGGCTTCTTTACATAGTCTGTCCTGTTTTTGCTGGTCATTCTGTGGTGCTTTATGTAAGAATTTTCTAAACAACTTTGACACAGCCCACAGGGGACCCATGAGCAATAGGGTGCACCCTTCTCTGCATCCCCCTATCCTGGGAAAGCTGTCCTTGATGCTGGGTAGTCTTAGTTTCCAGTTTGTGAAGCTGATGAAGAGCTGTGATGGATGTAGCAACACTAGTCTCCCACCAGCCATCCTGAGAGGTGCTCAGCAGACACCTGCTCTACCGGCCTCATTTGATACTTGTGCACAGCCCTCAGGGTCTCAGGGTGAGTGCTGGGTGGCACCTTCAGAGTATCCTGCCCATGTGGCCCGCTCCTATGCCAGTTCTCCCCCGCCACCTCCCACATGGTGCCAAAATAAAATCCAGACTATTTTTATCTCTCTAGACTCCCTGTGGGCCAGCTCACATGTGCCCACGTGGGTAGCTGTAATGGCTGCTTTCTGCCTGTTCACCCCCTTCTGTGTTCCCACACATTCTGTCAGGGTGACAAGGCAGAGCCCCTGGTGGACTCAGAGGTTTCAGCATCTGTGGGTTGGTCCTGTGGGGTTGCAGTTTCAGACACACTTGGTACTGGAGCTAGGGTGTCGGACAGCCAGGTGTATGCCCCATGGGATGCTACCACCCTCTGTCACCTCACTTGTCCTCCCTTTCACTGTAAACAGGAACATTTCCCTAACCTTGCCTGCTGCCTTGTGAGCAGTGCAGTGCTGAGTCCAAACTTTCCTGGGTGAGCCCATGGCATCCTTTCCCTCTCTCCAGGGTGCTGTCCCTGCTGTCCACTTTTCCTCCCCTCTGCCTGCCTCCTGCTCCTCAGCTGGCTGAAGTCCTTCAATCCTTTGGCCCTGGAGAACTAAGTCCCCTTGATATTTTGTCAGCTGGGTTAAGTGAACAGTTCGGTGGCAGCATTTTGACCTAGTGTAGTGATCTTCCAGGATCCTTGGTCCCTGCTGCAGAGTCCCCTGGGGCTTAGCCTCGGTCAGGCCCCTCCCAGGGGCTTAGTGCACGAGTCACCCTCCATAACGCTGCCTGATCACCTTCCCTCCAAAGGCGTCTGGTTATGGATCCTGAAAAGGCCATAACTCACCTGACTGCCTGCCTCTCTCTCCCCCAGGAAGCAGGTCTTGGGGACCAAGGTAGATGCTGAGCGGGATGGGGTAAAGGTGCCCACCACGTTGGCTGAGTACTGCGTGAAGACCAAGGCCCCGGCGCCCGACGAGGGCTCAGACCTCTTCTACGACGACTATTACGAGGATGTTGAAGCTGAGGCTGAAGCCGACAGCTGCTTTGGGGATGATGAGGATGACTCTGGCAATGAGGAGTCCTGACACCATGTCCCCCGCCGAATAAACTTACAGATTTTACCTCACCAGGCCCAGACTGTGTGGGCTCTAGGGCACCTCCTGTCGCCGAGACTACCTCAGGGAGGTGGCTCCGCTCTTGCGTTGTCTCCTTGGTCTCGCTTTCCTTTCCCCATATTTGTTCTGGGTTTTCCTGTGCTTCAGAGAGGAGGGGCCAGGCCATCACATCACGTCTCTGGGGCCCCATTAGTGTTGGGCACCCGGCAGGCGAGCCTGAAGCCAAAGGTGGCCTGAGGGACCCGGACTCCAGCCTGTTCAACTGCCCCACTGGCTGGAGCCAGAGACTTGGGGTTCCAGCTCATGAGTGGACGGATTAACTTGTGGTCACCTCTTCTCTCTGTTTTGTTTGGAATCTAAATAAAACAACTTTACAAGAAGCCCAGAGAACCAACCTCTCCTTGGCCTCCCCAAGGACCATGGGGGTACAGTGTCGAGGCCTGGTGCCTGCAACACCTAAGTGCATGGGGCCCAGGGGCAGGCCCAGGAGCTGGGGGTGTATTCTTGACAATGTGGGCCCAAGGTCCTGAGCCCTAGGCTGAAAACGACCTGCAACTTTCAGCCCTCAGGTTCCACCCTGCTGCCTGCAGATGCTACACACAGTTTCACCCAGGCCTCTGACTTTATTTTTGTGTAACTAAAAAGCCTGGAGCAAGCTGGATTCAGGGTTGGATAGTGACATTAGAACAAAGGCCTGAGTGAACCCTGGCCTGACTGATTACTGTGGCCTGAGCCTGTATGGCCATGTGTAGGTGGTGGACAGGTGCACCCTAGGGCCCAGGCAAACGTAGAGCCTGCACACCTGCTCTGCTTCCTGCTCCACGAATGCACCACAGCACTGGTGCCACAAATACAGCTTTCACAGTTGGCCCTCACAATTTTGTTTGTTAACATGAATGATTTTCCTACATTAAAATGTGGAAAGTTTCACCTAGTTGTCTTAATTTCTCGCTTTTTTTAAACGCAACTGGTGGGTAGCACAAGGCCAGTGAGGGTCTACTGCTGAGTACTCTTGAGAACTCGCCAGAGTTCTCAACTGTATTTGAGCAGAGGTTCTCCCCACCCCGTGGCAACCACACTCATCACCCTCCCTGGGCCTTGTTCCAGGAGCCTGAGCTCTGTTGTGCGTTACAGGTGAGGCAGCCCTCAGAGCACCACAGGTGTCCTTGGGCCCCCACATGTGCACCCCAGGAGTGTGACCCTCTCCAAGCACCCTGTAGGCACGAAGGCCTGACCAACAGCCTGTGTTTTTAGCTTGCAGACGCCTCCTGCTGCTGAGGCCTGGGGATATACAGCTTCCCCTCACTTCCTCTTTAAGTTAGAGGCATTTCCTGAGGGGGAAGCTGAGTCGCTACTTTGAAGGTAGTGAGGGGGGCAGGTGTCACCCACAGTGTGAGCTACTCTACAAGGCTGTATTTCCTGTTTCCTGAGAGCCCAGCAAGTGGCTGGCAGCCTCCAGAATGGCAGTGAAAGGGAAGGGCCTCCTGGGGCCCAGGAGCTGCTGGCCTGCATTAGACGGGCCTGGTATAAGCAAACCAAGACCCTCGGCCAGACTGGCTACACCCACCTCTTTACCTGTGTCTGGCTGTTTATGAGCTGCAGCTTCAGTACTGAATATTGGCCCCAAAAGTAAAAAATACTTAGTCTGGCCGTTTACAGAAAACTTTCCCAACCTCTAGAGTCACACTAGCACCCACTTACACCCTCCTTGGGCTTGTTAGTTCAGCCTCTGCTCTCCCTGAACCTCTACCTTATCCCCACACTACCCCTGCTACAGAACAAACCATCTGAGCTTAGTGACATAGAGCCACTACCACTTTACACTCAGCTTCTATGGGTCAGGAATCAAGTGGCTTGTCCCCTCTTCACCATGTCTAGGTGACTTGAACTATGGGGCCTGGGGTCATCTGAAGGCACCTTAACTCACATTGGGTTAAGATGTGGGTTAAGGCTGGGGTAACTTCTGGGCCAGACTCGGAGGGACTGAGTGCCCACACGTGGCCCCACATCCACCACCAGTGCTTCCTCTTAGCATGGTGGCACAGGCTCCAAGATGACAGTTCCAAGAGCAAGGTCATTTCTGAGCAGCCTTGAAGGTCACACCATGCCACTTCTGCTGCGCACAGTTGGTCGAAATAGGCATGAGCCCACCCAGATTCAAGGAAAGTGGACACAGACTCCACCTCCTAATGGGAGCATGTCTGAGAATCGGTGGCCATGTTCTAAAACCACCACAATCTGCCCTGGCCAATGTGGATCAGTTGGTTGGAGCATCATCCCATACACCAAAAGGTCGCAGTTTCGATTCCCAGTCAGGGCACATACCCAGGTTTCAGTTTCCATCCCCAGTTGGGGCACAGGCAGGAAGCAACTGATCCATGTTTCTTACATCAATGTTTTTCTGTGTCTCTCTCTCCCTCCCTCTTAAATCATTCCTCAGGTGAGGATTTTTTTAAATAAAATAAAAACCCCTTTCCTCCTCAGACTCTACTCCACGTGATTGCAAAAAGAGCTTTTGCACACAAAAGCTCTGACTATAATATCTGAGGCCTCTGGGTTTGAATCATCTTTACTGACCAAGCCAAGAAAAAGTGACTTTGACATTCAGAACTTCAGTGTGCCAAGTTGCATAATGGAGTTACTAGAGTTATCCAGTTAAATTTAAATTTCAGATAAACAACAAAGTGCTACAAGGGTATCACATGCAATATTTGGGACATATTTATACAAAAAAGTTATTCATTGTCTATCTGAAATGCAAATTTAACCAGGCATACATTACTTTTAGTTGATAAATCTGACCATCCTGACACTAATGGAACCTAATCCTGGGATTCTTAGGATTTAACAAGATAGGACCTGTGAACACTATAAATATTATTTTTTCTTAAACTTGTTGACTCCAGGAAGAATATACCTACCAAGAAGGACTTCTTGTGGTTAATCAGGCCCAAAATCATAACCAGACTCTAACCACCATTGTTTGCAGACGTCCCTCGTGGACACTGTATATCAGGGAAAAGCCACAAACTGGGCTGCCAGCCTCCTGCACTGTGCTGCTGCCACTGTCTGAGCTGAGCCTTTTAAGAGAACGCTTAGGATCAAAATTTGACTAATGGGCTGAAGACCTGCCTTCCGATCAGAGCTGTGCAGCTTGAACCTCATTGGCATCTTTAGTAACCAATCAGAGTGGCTGCATTCCGGCTAATCAGGACAGTGCCTTTTGGACCAATCAAGCTGTGAGGATTTGGAGTCCTCATTTGCATAAAAATGGCCAATCAGCCTTGGCCAGTGTGGCTCAGTGATTAGACCATCAGCCACTGCAGGGAAGGTTCTCAGTACCATTCCCCATCAAGGCCAAGAATCTGAGTTGCAGCTTCGATCCCCCACCCCAGTCATGATGTGTACAGGAGGCAACCAATCAATGTGTCTCTCTCGCATCAATCACATCAATGTTTCTCTCTCCCTCTCTCTCTCCCTCCCTCTCTCTCCCTCCCTCCCTCTCTCTCTCTCCCTCTCTCCCTCTCTCTTTCTCTCTCCCTCCCTCCCTCAATCCACTCTCTAAAAATCAGTGGAAAAAATATCCTAAGGTAAGGATTAACAACAAAAAAGGGACCAATCCGAAACCAAGGGGGAGAACTTCTCTATTCACTGCAGCTGTTTTGGTGGAGCACACTTTCAGTTACTGATGGAGACTATTTCCCACACTGGGGCTGAGCAGAGCTGTCTTGCTGGGGCTGAGCTGCTACACCAGAGCTGTAACACTGGGCCACCTCACCCAGGCTGGACTGGCTGAGCTGTTTCATGGCTGTACTATATCATAATTGACTTGTCTCACAGCCAAGCCTTCCTACTGCCATGCCATATCACAATTTAACTGTTTGCTCTGAATAAAGTCTCCCTTCACCACACCCCAAATTGGGGACTCCTGCTGGTGTTGAACTGGGGACAACCTTCGGTTGATTAACTCATCCCTAGCCTCATGCACTCTAGTAAGTAAAAACAGAACTCCGGAGCCTCATGTGCCAGATGCTGTCAAATGAGAGAATGGATGGTGACTTGCTTCCAGAGGCCCAGCACATAGATGAGTTCATCTGCCTTTTGGGGTCAAGTTTTTCAGCCACCTCTCTTATATTTGTCATGATCTTTTCAGTGGCAAAGGACAAAATGCCCAACTCAAAATGATTCAAGCAAAAAGGAAATTCATTGGTTTCTGTGCCTGACAAGGCTGGGGGATTTCAGGCATAGCAGGATCCAGACATTGGTTCTGTCCAGACTGTCTCCCCAGAGTCTATGCTCTAGGGAAAGGCAGAAACAATTCTCCCCTGGACCCTCCAGGGGAAATTAGCCCTGCCTACACCTGGGTTTAACCCAGTGAGGCCCCCTTACTACTTCTAGCCTCCAGAACGAACAGAATAAGTTTGTGTGGCTTCAGGCACTGAATGTAAGGTAATTCATTAACTTGTTACAGCTGCAAGAGGAAACTAACAGCCCCAAGCTCAGCTTTCTCTGTGTGGGCCTCATTTTCAGGTGGACTCCTCTCACTTTGGGGCTACCCCCAGGCTGACATCCTTCCAGCTCCAAGTCCAGCAGAGAGTAAGAGCTGTTTCAGAAAAGTTCCAGTAGAAGAAACCCACACCATGGCCCTCACTGAGCCTTCTTAGAAGTTTCTGCCCTGAACTAAAGAGGGGGGGAGGGCTGGAGCGATCTGATTGACCAGTCTGGGTCACATGGGTAGGGAGAGCCGAGGAGTGGACTATGAGGGAGGGAGGACTGAAGACCCTGGAAGCCTTCAAACTGCCCCCTCCATGTCTGGCCCAGGACAGACATCAATGATCAATATAGCACTCTACACAGCTGAGCCTTACTAGGACCCTCAGATTTGTGGTCATCCCCCAAGTACTCATAGCACACGAGTGTTCATATCATCTTTATCCAGAATAACCAAAAATTGGAAACAGCCCAAATATCCATGGAACGATGAACGGACAAACAAGATCTGGTCGATCCATACAATGGAATATTATTCAGCCATGAAGAGGAAGGAAATGTGGACACCAGCTACAAAGTGGATGAACCTTGAGGACATTATGCTGAGTGAAATAAGCCAGACACGAAAGAACAAATACTGTGCGATTCCACTCATTCATGGACCCTAGAGGAGTCAAGTCCATAGAGACAGAAAGTAAATGATGGGAGCCAGGGACTGGGAGGAGGGGAGTTAGTGTTTAATGGGGACAGACTGTCAGTTCGGGAAGATGAGAAAGTGCTGGAGATGGATCGTGGTGGCTGCACAACAGCGTGAATGTGCTTAATGCCACTGAGCTGTATACTTAAAAATGGTTAAGATGGTAAATTTTATGTGTATTTTGTCATGATAAGAAACAGGGGGCAAAGAAGACAATCATGTTGAAACCACACATGCTCACACACACCACAAATGTGTGAGATGGGGGTTGAACATGATGGGATATTAGACGATGAGGGGAAATTTTTGTTAATTTTTCAGATGTGATGTGTAGTGTGGTTTTCTTTTCAGAGAGCCTGTATCTTTTAGAAAGACTTTTCTGAAATGCTTCTGGGTGACATACAACCAGCTAGGGGTGGAGTGTGTGCTGCTGAAAGTGAAGGTGTGAGTGTTGCCTCCCCTAAAGGAAGGTGTGGGCAGGGTGGGAGGTGCCGGGGACTCAGGCAGCACCCATGCCTAAGTTCCCCAGCACCATGGAGGCCGCCTTATCTCTGCCGCTGCTGCTGGCCCTGGGGGCTCTTTGGGCAGGTGAGTGGGAGCCAAGCAAGGGGGGAAACACCCAAAACTTTGGCCCTCTAGGTGTTCATGGGTGGGTATCACAACAGATTATAAACAAGTCCACTGTCCCCAGAAGGGGACTGATGGAAGAACTGTCAGCCGCTCCAAAAAGGAGGTGAGGCTGAGCAAGGGCCCTGAGGTAGAGTAGAAATCAGGTCACATCAGGGCAGACATTTTAAGGTTTTTCATTTTGACTTTGATCTTACAGAAAAGTCACTAGAATCCTACCGGCAGCTCCCATCTTCTCTTCCTAGATTTCTCAACTGTAAACATGTTGCCACAGTTTCCTTATCACCACCTTCTGGGTGTGAGTATAAAAAATAAATATATATCTTATTTTTCTGAACCAATAGAGAGTACGTTTCAGGAGCATTTCCCCTTACTCCTAAATGCCATGGTGTGTTTTCTGCGAACGAGAACTTTCTCTACATAGCAGGATTCTCAACATCGTGCATTCATACAGTGCTATTAGCTCATCCACGGCCCATATTCAAAAGTTCCCACAGCGTTCCTTATGGGAGCAAATCCAGCAGGGGGCACCTCATCTCTTCGTCCACTATGGGCAATTTCTTTATTTCCCCCTGGGTCTTGTGGCACTGGTATTTGCGATGCCTGTGGGTCTGCCTGCTGTGTCCCTGAGGTTGGGTTCGGGTTGTGCATTTTCTGCAGGAATCATAGAGGGTTCCTGCCTGCTTCCTGGTGCCATTAGCTAGATCGCTTGGTGAAGCTGACATTCACCAGATTTCTCCAGGGTAAAATCATTAATTTCCTCTTGCAGTTGTCTTAAGGGGAGACTTTGGGACTCTGAAAATATCTTATGCTCCTCACACCTCACCGTGGAGCTGGATTCACAGAACACCACAGGAGGTGGAGCAGGTGCAGGCCTCTTGCTTCCTGGCAGCACTGGGGAGGCAGGGTCCTTATATACGTATGTACATAACTCTGAGTTGCATAACAGGAAACCCCAACCCAGTGACCCAGCAAATGAGGCAACCTGCCCAGGATCGCCTGGCTGGGAAGGACAAAGCTGGTATTTGAGCCCCTGCTGGCTGCCGCCCCAAACCATACATGCTTGGCCAGGACTGGATGCCTGGGAGCTTAAAATAGAAGGTGGTGGGTGATTAGCATCCCAGGATTCTGGCTGGGCTGGATGAGAATGGCTCTGTGGTGAATTGGAGACCCCGTGGGATAGGTGTTCAATCATCCATCATCCTTTCTCCCTTCTCTCTTTCCTTCCTTTCTTCCACTATTATACATCCACCCATCCATCATCCTTTCTCTCTCCCTTCCTTCCATCCATCATTCTTTCTCTCTTTTTTCCTTGCTGCCATCCATCATCCATCATCCTTTGTCCCTCTTCCTTTCTTCTACCCATCCATCCATTTTTTTCCATTGATTTTTAAAAACATTTTTTTTAGAGAGTGCGGAAGGGAGGGAGCGAGGGAGGAGTGGAAGAGAGAGAGAGAGAGCCCAGCCGGGCGTGGCTCAGCGGTTGAGCTTCGACCTAGGATCCAGGTGATCGGGGTTTGATTCCCTGTCAGGGCACATGACCGGGTTGTGGGTTCGATCAATGACGCTCTCACCATTGATGTTTCTATCTCTCTCTCTCCCTCTCCTTTCCTCTCTCTGAAATCAATAAAGATATATTAAAAAATAAATAAATATATATATATATATGTATATATATATATATATAGAGAGAGAGAGAGAGAGAGAGAGAGAAAACACATCGATGTGAGAGACACACATCGATTGGTTACCTCCCACACACGTCCCGTCTAGGGCTGGGAATTGAACCTGTAACCCAGGTACTTGCCCTTGATCAGGAATCGAACCTGCGACCCTTCAGCGCACAGGCCAACGCTCTACCCACTGAGCCACACCGGCCAGGGCCATCCATCATTCTTTCTTTCTTCCTTCCTGCCATTCATCATCCATCCATTCATTAGCCATCAGCCATCCATCTGTTATCCATCCATCAGCCATTATCTGTTTTGTCATTCATCCATCAGTGTTTGCTGAGCACATACTGTTCAGGCCTGTTGTAAACAAGACAGGCACGGGGCCTGCCCCCGAGGACTAGCGGGGATAGAGAGTCAATGAGCAAGTCTGTGTGTGATACAATGTCAGGAAGGGCTTATTGTTAGGAAGAGAACAGAGCAGAGTGAAAGAAGGAGGGTTATATTAAGGAAGTTGGGGCGGGGGTCTCTGAAGAGAAGGCTTTTGAGCAGATACCCAGTGAGGAAGCCAGACTTGGGAACGTCTGGAGGAAAGGCTGCCAGCACGGCATGTGCAGAGACTCTGAGGTGGGATGAAGGCAGGGCCCCGGAGGAGCAACCTCCCGGCCAGTGTGGCTCAGTGGAGTGAGGAGTGGGAAGGAAGCAGGATGTGGCTCTTGTAGGTCATGGGGAGTTTGGATCTTTAAAGCATGAATGGGAACCATAGGAAGATTTTGATCTGATTTACATTTTAAAACTTTTTATCAATCTTTTAAAATTCCTGATTGATTTTAAAACAATTTTTATAACACCTTTATTGAGATATAATTCACATGCCATACAATTCACCCTTTTAAAGTATATAATTCACTATTTTTAGTACATTCAGAGTGTTATGCACCCAGCACCTCTATCTAGTTCCAGAATTTTCCATCACCCCAAAATGCAACCCTATCCCCATTAGCACCCAGTCCACTCCCTCCCACAGCCCCTGGCATCCATTTACAAACCCATTTTCGATCTCTGTGAATTTGCCTGCTCTGGGCATTTCACATGATTGGAATAACGCACTGCGTGGTCTTTTGTGTCTGGCTTCTCTTACTGAGCGTCGTGTGTTCAAGGCCCACTCAAGTCGTAGCGCGTGACCTGCTTCCCCCCCTTCGCGGCTGAGTGATATTCCAGGGTGTGGATGGACACATCGTGTTTATCCCTCACCTACTGCTGGACATTTGGACTGTTTCCACTTTTTCGTAATGTGTGAGTCCCACTGCTATGCACATGTGTGAACAAGATTTGTGTGGATATATGTTTTCATTTCTCTTGGAGAGGAGTTTCTGGGTCAGGTGGTAACTCTTTAAACTTTGAGGAACTGCCAGATTGTTCCCACAGTGACTGCACCATTTTATGTCCCGCAGAAGGGATGTGAGGATCCAATTTCTCCACTTTAAACAGCTCCTCCAGCTGCTGCAATAGGGGCTGCACTGTGGTGCCCAGGGGAGTCCCAGTGGGGCCCAGAAGCAAGGGATGGGATGTGAATGCCAGATGGTCACCTGCTGGTGACCAGGATATGGGGATGAAGGATGAGGCGGGATCAAGGACAGCCCCACCTGTCAACCTGAATGTGTCAGGGAACAGAGGGGACTGTGTTAGGGTCCAGGCTCCCCAGGCGTGGGGTGGAAGGGTCGTGGTAAGGATGGGGCACCCAGCCCTAACCTGGCATTCTGTTCCTCTCCCCAGGAGGTGACACATTTAAGACCCACATAATTGGTGGTCACGAGGCTGCCCCCAACTCCCGTCCATACATGGTCTCACTGCAGAAAGCTGGTGCCCACCTGTGTGGGGGAGTCCTTGTGCACCGGATGTGGGTACTGACAGCTGCCCACTGCGTGGTTCAACCGTGAGTTACCTCAACCTGCCCACCCCCTCTGTCATCCCAAGCATCCCCGAGTCTATCCCATTGTTCCTGTTTTCACCCAGGGTGGGTCCTGACAGATTTGAGCCAATTATAGGGTCATAGGGGTGTCCCCTTTCCCTCTCCTGTGATTGCTGCAGTGTGTGTACCTGTCATCAACCCTAGGCATGCGTAAGTGACATTGGGCTGCGGAATTCCTAGGGAAGCTTTACTTGCTACAACGAAGCACCTTCCAGCTAGACAGAGTTGGGCCTCTTGTGACAGACAGGAATGTGTCTCCCACTGTGGCCATGGGGATAGAGCTGGTCTCTGAGGATGGCAGAACCAACGCAGTAAGCCACCAAATAAATCAGTCATGGAGCTGCCCCACCTCTGGACTAGCCAGGAATAAAGACCCCAAATCAAACTGGTCAAAGTAACTGAAGGGGATCTGTTGGTTCATCAAACTGAAAAGCCTAGGAGGACATAAGGCTTTAGGTACAGCTTGATCCAGGTGCTTGCGTGAGCTGGTCAGGAGCTTGCCTGTCTCTCAGCTCTTCCGTTGTGTCCCTTGGCCACATCTCACACGGTGGCAAGGATGGGCCCCTTAGATCCTGTGGAAGAGCTTATTTCTCTACAGTTTGGGCAAAGTTATGAGCCCTTCTTAGGTTATGTGCCAGCTTTAGAACAAATCACTGAATGAGGCTGCAGCCCCCGCTGAAGGAAGCCCCAGGCTGAAGGTCATCATTTTTGGACACACACGTAGCCTTACCCCTGGTCTGGAATGAACTGGGGTCTTGGGCAGGCGTGGGAGCAAGGACAGCTTCCTGGAGGAGGTGGGGAGGAGGCAGTTGAAAAGGAGCAGGGGAAGAACCAGCCAGAAGGAGGCCAGGTGAGGGAGTGGGGGGCCTGGGGGTAGGAACGAGTACCCCTTGGCCTTGAACTCAGCCTAGATGGACCCTGGATGCAGGGCTCAGGTTATGCGGAGGAGTCGCGGGCTACAGGATAGCAGTCCACACCCCGATTCTGCCGCCCACAGGCCCCAACAGCTGAGGCTGGTGCTGGGACTCCATGCACTCAGAGACCGTGGCCTCACCTTCCGAGTCAGGGCAGCAGTCTTGCACCCCAAGTACAAGCCTGCCCCCAAACTGGAGAATGACCTCGCGCTGCTTAAGGTGCTGGGGAAGGCGGGAGGGGTGACCGCTGCACCCAGGTACCCCTCTACGACTGCCTCCCCCACTGTGCCTCACTCACCTGTCCCTTCTGCCGCTCGTAGCTGGAATGGAAGGTGAAACCCAGCAAGACCGTTCGGCCCCTGGCCCTGCCCCGAGGGAGCCAGGCAGTGGCCGCGGGAGCAAGGTGCAGCGTGGCTGGCTGGGGGCTGACCCGGCAGAGCGGGCGGCTGGCAGAGGCACTGCAGGAGCTGAACATGCATGTGCTGGATGCCAGGATGTGCAACAACAGTCGCTTCTGGAGGGGCAAAATCACCCCCCACATGATCTGCCTGGAGGCCGAGTCCAAGAATAAGGCCCCCTGCAAGGTGAGGGGGCAGCAGCAGGGAGGTGGGCAGCTTGGCCTGAGGGGAGGGCATCAGCCTGCGGCCAGGGGGACCTCACAACCAGGGCAAAGCCCCAGCTCTCCCTGGGCCCCGGCTCTGTCCATTCTCCGGACGATTCTTGAGATTGGTATTACATTAGTCCATTTCTCAGATACAGAAACTGAGGCACGGGGAAGTTAAGTAACTTGCCCACAGTCACACAGTCAAGGAGCAGCAGAGATGGGCTTCAGGCTCTAGCACCGAAGATAATCATAGCACATGCACTAGCCCGGGAGTGGGAAGAAGCAAAGAGCAGGAAGGATGGAAGGAAGGGGGGGAAGAGGTGGGGGTGAAGGAGTGAGGAGATGTGTGTAGGGAGATGTGGGACCAGTGCATACAGTCATGGGGGGGGTCTCTACCGTAGAATCAGCCTCCCACCCCCAGGAATAATCAGGCTTTCTCCAGCGGGCACAGAAAGTAACTTGTGTCCTGTGGGCTCCGGCAGGGGGACTCAGGCGGGCCTCTGGTGTGCAGCAAAGGCCATGTGGCTGGAATCCTGTCCTTCAGCTCCACAGTCTGCACTGACATCTTCAAGCCCCCCGTGGCCACTGCTGTGGCCCCCTACATGTCCTGGATCAGGAAGATCACCAAGCACTGGCCGGCCCCACCTCAGGCCTGATGCTCCAGGGGCAACCCTGACTCCTTTGCTTGTGGGACCCTCCCCTGCAGGATTATGGAAAGGGGCAGAGAGGGGACCAATAAATTGTAATAAATTGTAATAAAGAAATTGTAAATGTCCTGCCTGGATTCTGACCCCACTTCTGCCATGCTGGCTGTGAGGCCTTGGTCAGGCCTCAGTTTCCCCACTTAAAAAACAGAGGTTGCACTTTTTAAGCTGCTGGAGGGAGCTCAGCAGCAGGCGAGGGCCAGCCTCTCCCAGGAGGGATGCCAGGGTGGGGCCCAGAGGATGGCAGGGGATGGCATTGGCCAATCCCAGGAGCCACAGAAAGAGTTTGGCTGGCAGGGGGTGTGCTGGGTGCTGGGGAGCAGGGTGGAGGTCACTGGACAAAAGCATTCTAGAATCTTCTTCCTTTTCTTTTTTTGGTAGTATCTTCATAGTATTGAGATATAATTCACATGCCTTATAATTCATCCACTTCAGTGGTTTTTAGTATGTTCACAAGGTTATATAACTATCACCTCTAATTCCAGAACATCCCATCACCCCAAAAAGCAGCCCTGTCCCCATCAACAATCACCTTCAGCCGGCTCCCCAACCCCTGACACGAATCCACTTCCTGTCTCTGTGGATTTGCCTGATCTGGACATTTCATATAAATGGAATCACACACTGTGTGGCCTTTAGTATCTGGCTTCTTTCCCTGAGCATCATGTGTTCAAGGTCCATTCACGTCATAACGAGTATCCAAGCTTCACTGCTTTTCATGACTGAGTAATATTCCAGTGTGTGGATGGGCCACATTTGTCCCTTAATGGACATTTGAGTTGTGTCAATCATTTGGCTCCTGTGAACTTACTGTCATGGACACATGGGCACTAGTATTTGTGTGGACCCACATTTCATTTCTTTTGGGTGAGCACCGAGGAGTGAGATTGCTCAGCCATACAGTTAACTGTGTAACTGTTGAGGTACTGCTGTTTTCCAGCAGAATCTTTGTATCATGAAAATTCTGAAACACACAGCAAAGCTGGAACAACGGTAAAGTGAGCACTTAGGTACTTCACCACCCACTGTCCCTCTGTCCATCTATCCACCTGGCTTAGCTGCTGACGCATTTCACAGCATGGCTCCCCAAACTCTTCAGCAGGGGTTGGAGTCCTTCCTCTTCCTCTGTCTCTCTCTCTGTCTCTCTGTCTCTCTTTCTCTTGCATACAATGAAATGCATGAATCTAAGTGGATGACTTGCTGTTTTGACAAAAGCCTACAAATGCTTGTAATCCCAACCCCAGCAGAGATGTGCATTAGTCACCCAAGAAGACTCCACTGCCCCTTGCAATGTTGCCTTAAATTTAGTTTTTGTATGGCCCTAGCCAGGTAGGTCAGTTGGTTAGAGCGTTGTCCTGATGCACCAAGCTTGCAGGTTCAATCCTTGCTCAGGGCACATACAAGAATCAACCAATGTATGCATAAATAAATGGAACAACAAATAAATGTCCCCATACCCGTCTCTCTCTCCCCCCTTCCTCTCTCTCTAAAAATCAATCAGTAAAAAAATTTAGCTTTTGCCTAGTTATTGCCACAGATAGGCAATAGTTAAAGGAACAGAATGTCATTCTGGAAGAAGACAGTTCCCACTTAGCCCATTTCCCCCAAGAGGCAACTGTTGCCAGTCTTATGTCTTCATCCAAGGTGTTCTGTGCAACGTTTTTACAGGTTTTTATACAAAGAGAAACTATATCCACTCGGCTGGGCCTGGCTGTCACAGTAACATGCCTGCCCCACCCCCAGGGCCTGTACCAGGAGCCTGAGCTTTCACCTCCTTTCCCCCTGTCCCTCACCCCACCGCCGTGGGTGACTCTGTGGTGCATCTACCAGTCCAGATGTGGGGTTTGCTGCAAAGGCTGGTAGTTATTTTTTCTCTGGTCGCGGAACAGCGGTCATATTCTGCAAAGTGTCAGGAAACATCAGGAGGCCCTTTCCTTCTTTATCTATTACGGAGCAAGAGTGAGAAGGAAGGACAGATATGGTGCAAGGACAAGCGCAGGGAGAAGAGAAGATGCAGATTCTCTCTCCGTTTTTTGGGTTTTTTTTGCAAATTGCTGAATGGCCGTTATCTTTTTTGTAACAGACTTTATTTATTTATTTTTTAATCCTCATCAGAGCATATGTTTATTGATTTTAGAGAGAGAGGAAGGGGGAGGGAGGGGAAGGGAGAGAGAGAAAGAGAGAGAGAAACATCCACTGGTTGCCTCCAGCACACACCCTGTCTGGGAATCGAACTCTCAACCTTTTGGTGTACAGGTTGACACTCCAACCAACTGAGCCACACCAGCCAGGGCATAATAGACTTTACTTTTTAGAACTATTTTAGATTTAGAGAAAAGTGACAGAGAGCATGGAGTTCCTATGCACTCATGCTCCTTCCCCTATGTGCACATCTGGCATGAGTCAGGGGCACATGTCACAATTAATATTGATACTTTATTCAGATTTTCTCAATTTCCCCAAATGTCCCTTACCTGGCCCAAGACCCCATCCAGGACCCCACCTGACATTCATGCAGACTGTGACAGTTCCTCAGATGTTCCTTGTTTTGATGCCCTGGATGGGTCAGGAGTTTTGTAGAATGTCCTTTAGCTGAGATCTGTTTTAATCATAACTGGAGGATAATCCACCCCAAGACTGAGGTTTGGAATGGTAAGTACAATTTTTTTCTTTTTCTTTCTTTTTTTCTTAACCCTCACCAGAGGATCTTCCCCCCCCCCCC